CATAGACATATATATATATATATAGATTCTTGTTATTTTCAGATTATTAATAGGGTTCAAAATTATTTGAAATCATTTTTAAAATTTTGTTGTTTATTTTAAAAAAGATGATAGTCATTCCCCTTGCTTGTATCATATTAAAATTTTATTTTGTTAATAATTTTATATACATAAGAATTTGAATTTGTTTATAATAATTTATAATTAATATAATTTATTTCAAATGTATGTATCATGAATTCATCCAGGTTTTTCCATCAACCGATTATATTCTTTTAATCATGAATCTCATCTGACTCAATAACTAGTTTTTTTTTTTTTCATTTAAAACATTAATCTTGGGGACATGGAAGGAAGTTCATTTAAAACTGTAATTTGAAAGGTCACTTACTTAATGAAGCGGTTATAAGCAGAAGGAACACGTTGTCTCTTCTCAGGAGCTGTTGATCATGAGATTATTTAGTTCAAAATATCAAACAATTATTGCATAGAATGTAAATATAAACACCATGAGTCAACCATCTAAATTAATTAATACATATTTCACACTAAATATGGTTTTCAAACAACCAAAATCAGGTTGAGCTAAGTTTTAGCGAGACCTGGCCCCATAGTTGGAAGATGGCAAATTCGATCCAGTACTAAAAAGTTACTGAAGTACCACTTCCAATATCAATTATCATGAGCTGCTACGACAAGAGGGATGAAAATTCTTTCGTTGGCACAGTTTATTATTAGTAATCAAATCAATAATCTGACATGTCTAAAGTTGTATATAACTCATACAGTCTAATAAATGAAAAGTCATATAGTACCATTATTTGAACATCAAATAATTAATACGATATTAGACACTATATATAATTATTCTACCTTTTATTTACTTTTTATTTCTTTCGTACACCGTTGCTAAAATTTATTCTCTAAACTTAAAGGAGACAACAAACATTGTCCCGCTTTTAATGTGCAAAAGCCATTTTTTCTCAAATCATGTTAGAAAAAGCTATTTTATCTTTAAAACATCCTTTTACACATCTTTATAACTAATCAATCCTCACCCAAAATTTTTCTGGATGATCAAAAAAAAAAATTCTCACCCAAAAAAATATATTAACTGGTCATTGATTTAACTATTTAAGTGATTATAATAATAAACCCTAGTAAAAAAAAAAAATCATGAGAGTTGTAATTTGTAACTGTAAAACGAATTTGCATCTGCACATGCACAGTGCTATGAGATATATATCTAGCTAGGGCACAACATGATTGCAATCAATTAAGGATGGGTCAATTTGTTGCGAAAGGTCACCATCTAGTTGGGGACACTTAAATACATGAAGAAAATATAGACCAAATTGGGAACCTTCGTACCAAAAAAACTTGATACTCAGAGAGATGGACGCCCACTCTCATGAAAAACTGAGTTTAAAGACAAGGGGCCTCAATGATGACATTGTTCTGCTTGCTTACATTAATTAACTTGTGCCAGTTGTGGCATAAGGTAGTCTGAATCATTTTGTCCTTAAACATTCTGAGAGTATAACGGAAAAAGTTCAGGCTGGCCTAACTATAGGACTTGTTTGTTCAAGTTTCTTGGTGTTTGGATGAGCGTCCAAATAATCGAATTGATTTTGAATGAAATTAATTTTGAAGTGATGTGAATTATGTTTGAATATTTTTATTATAAAAATAAGTTAATGATAAAAATAGGTACAATTTTTTTTAATTAAAACAAAAGTCACCTAAAGTTGTTTTAACTCAAACAATTTTGGACTCGTAATCAATTCCTCGACGTGGAATCAAACATATGATACTGAAAATCACCTTAACTGGTATTTTAACGTGATTATGGAGAATCTAACTTATGTCAAAAGCTAAAAACAAATTAATTAAGGGTATATAAATAGAGAGTGAAACTCACGACGAATGGGAGGAATCCTAGGTTGCTCATGGTCTACGGGCTCAAATGATTTGCATTTTGATGATGATCCTAGTTCCTTGCTGCATGCTTCTTGAACGCTTAGGTGTTGTTTCTGTAACTTAGCAACGGTAGAAAATTGCTAAGAGAAACACACACACACAAATATTGTATTATAGTATTTAGTCCAGTTACTCAACAAAATGAGTTCAACATTAATGAAAAGAAAGAAAAAGAAAAAAAAAAGAGATAGAGTCACAAAACAATAAAAGATAAAGTATATATATTATATATACCTGAGTGTCTTGAGAAGGAAAAGTTTGAAGTGATGCTCCCATGTTAACTGATAGCAAATTGGCACAATGCCCACATCTAACTGTAACTATGGTGAGCAAACTGCTGCATGGAACACTAACCTGCATAAACCCATTTTGGAATACAAATATCAATTCCAATTTCACTAGCCAGTAGTTAGAAACTAAGTAAGCATAATATATATCTTGAAACATTTTAGATACAAGTTTAAAAGAATTTTTAAAAGTTTCTCTGCTAAAAATAAAAAAGAAATCCCGAGAAACTCTAAAAAATTCTTCAACTTACATCAAAACAAGTTTCTTATATGATTTGTCTCACTTACACACACAAGAGAACAAGGGTTGCGAAACACTCAAACTTTGATTTGATCTATGTATCATCTAAATTGGGATTCTCAATGCTTTAAGTTATATCTTACACAACTGTTTGGACCAACGCCATAACCAAATTAGCATCAGAGCTTCACACTTCTCGAAGTTAAAGTATTTATATATCTGATGGAGAATTGAAGCTATCACATTCAATGAAAAGATGCTTCACGCACCAGCGTTGCAATAAGAAAACAAATTGGTTGGTGAGGCAAAAGAAAGAGGGTGAAGAGGACAAATAAGGTTGAGAGAGAGAGAGGTCGGGGAAGTAATTTTTTTTTTTTTTTTCATTATGAGAGAGAGCAACTTAGTGCAGCATATTGAATAGTATACATGTCGAGTTAGCATAGCAGCAAGCTCAGGAACTGACATAGCTAATTTAAAAGTTAGCACTCTCACAATGTCTTCATTCACTTTTTGGCTGACACTGCAAGGCAAGATGAAAAAAGATAGACATTGTTGCTCATAGCGATCGAGGAGGAAAGAGAAAGATGAAAATGACCTGACTGGAACGGAAACCATGAAAATATGAAATTGAAACACCGTTAACCACTACTGCTACCAAACAGATATGATTAAAGAAAAGTGATCACCATCATGAAGCAGATTAAATTTACTGCACCTTGTGCAGTGTCAAGATCGGAGTAGAGAAAGAAAGAAAGATAGTGCTTTCTCAAAAGGAGTAATTTCAACAGAGATATTATGATGAAAGGAGAGAAAGGTAAAGGAAAATAAAGAGAGAGAGAGAGAGAGAGCTTGTCATTTTTCTGGTGCGTAAATGGATTTGTCTGGACGTCATAATCGCCACAAGTTCTTGTAGAAAGAAAGAGAGGACACTGTCTCAGTACTTAAAAGGTAGCAACAAGTCTGAAACTGTGAAAAAACCTTGATCATCAAAAAAAGACGCTTCACTGGCAAATTATGATGAACAGAATACACCACCTTCAACCTCATCACTCATCAGTGAAAGGGAATCAAGGAAATAGACTCAGGAAAGAGAAACCACCACATAGATTTGTGTAAAGATTTAATTTTATGAGCTGCGACTGTGAGTTCCGAAAGAAAACAAGAAACAAAAAACTTATAAATTGAAACAACAGTTGACTTTTTTGGCAACATATATAGCATGTGAGATCATACGATGCTATTAGATTCTTCTGAAAAAAGTAATGAAAAAATAACAAGAGGGGAAATAGCTCCATATAATAGAAGAACCCTAATACCCGGATTAGCCCTACCTATTATTCATATATAGCCCTCAAATTTCTTATGGATATATGCTTATCTATGTGTTTTGTTTATAAATCATCTCATTCAGGCTCACAAAATTGCTTTGTTACCCTTCAAAATTAGTATATGCCTTACAATTTTGAAAGGTTATGGGTTTCGAGTTTATTTGTCTTCTTCTATTACTCATAAGAGAGTACTGAACATAGACATCACTTACCTTACCTCTAACCAAATTAACACCATAGCTGAACTTGTTAGCATAAAAAGAGGTTATGGAGAAAAACCCAGTCACACTTTCTCATAAAATATAAGATAGGAGTTGATTAATTCTTGATCTAAAGTACATTCCAGTGAAGAAATTCACTTCAATGATGGATTTCAATTCCCTGGGGAAGTGACCCTTCTTTTTAATTCTTTGCTTTCATGATCTCGATTCAAGAAATTCAGAAAACGCGTATTGACAAATTATTAGCTGGTGAAACACATGGTATAATAACAAAACAAGCTTAGAAGAACACAGGGAAAAGAGAGAGAGAGGTAGAAAAGAGAGAGAGACAGAGAGAGAAAGAGAGAGAGAGAACAAAGAGAGTTCAGAACTGTACCGCTAGAGTGGTGTTGCAGAAGTTGCAGTGAACATAACAAACACGTTCGGTTGCCATCATTTCCATTGACATATTTTTAAAAGAAAATTGTGACTGTCCTTTGTGTTTGCTTAGTTGATTTATAGGCAAATCAGAGAGGAGAATTCCTTGCTGAAGCAAAGTGAACAAGCTAGATCAAGGATTTACAGAAGACCCAGAAGAATATAAGACAGAGAATCATAAAGGTTAAATAAAGAAAAGAAACTTTGTTATTATTAATAATAATAATTTTTTTAATGGAAAGAGAGAAAGAAAGAGAAAGAGAGAGAGGACGTGTACAAAAATCTGAATGGTTAAGATGGGACTAGTCTGGTCGGGGGAAAACCAGTGAAGTGGAGTGGGATTAGTGACACTTTTGAATTATGAAGAAAAGATGGATTATAGGAAGTGTGAAAATATTTGGTGTGTTGTATGTATGTGCGCGTTTGTGAAAGACAGAGAAGCAGAGAGTGGGGAAAGAGAAGGTGGGGTGGATGTGTTATGATTGAGAAAATGAGTGGGTGGGAGTGACCCATTCTCTTCACTGGCTAGCTTTCTGTAGCGGACGAGGGGGGCGAGATATTAATGCTACCAATGTTTAATATGAGAGAGAAACTGTTTTTGTGTAAGAGAAAGCTTATAGGGATCACAGACATGCTTAGAATTTGTGTCATTCAAATCTCTATATGCATCCCATGTGAAAGATAGATAGACAGTTAGACAAAACTCATGTAACACATTCATCAAATAATTAAGAATTATGGTAACTTAAATAGTCATCTTATTGAGTTCCAAGTCTGGAAGTTTGGGATGTAACTATTTAGAAAATACAATCTGTAGAGTTATTGCAACTTAAATTCAAACAGTAGTTTCGAATTCGAAAATCTAGAAATACAACTTTGGTAAATACTTAGAGAGTTGTCGCCTTCGAAATCTTATCCATCTTAAACAACTTAAACAGAATTCGAGAATGCCTGGTTTCTATATGAAAAAAGATTGGCTGACAAAATGTTTTATTATTACCACTTTATTACTTCTTTTCAAAGAATTAACACCTTTTTCAAATCTAGTCTGATTTCTGACCCTCAAGGGGTTACACAATCTGTGCTCAAGTTCAAGTCTAAATCAAATTATTCTAAATGTTAATTACACTGTAAGTCAACAAAGCGTAGTTACTAATAATAATGACGACATCGAAAGACTACGGAAATAGCAAGGAATGTGAATTGGCTTTTGTCCATTTATGTGCCTCGGGTTTTCTATTGCGCTGTACTATTTGCAAAGTGAGTAGACATCCTTTTTTTTTTCTTTTTTAATTTTTATCAGAAAGTGCATAGACATCTTACTGTACATTTTCATGTATTTTCCTGTGAATGTCTTACACGTGAGATTTTTATATATAGTGCATTTTCCATTCAGGTTTTTTATTGGTCTTTTTTCATTCAATAAACGTCTAGCTAGTAAATAACGAAATGCATCAGGATAAACTTTTTGAAACAAAAGGGGCTTGTAAATCCAAGAATAAGACATGCTTGATTAATCAATCGTTTATGCTATTAACTACTCCTGTTGATTTTAATTTTCGGCAAGAACTAAGTTTTGCTGTACACTTTGTCCACTTTTTGTCTTAGCAACAAATCAGTTATAGGGATCGGGTTTTTCAATACTATTAACTTTAACAGGAAAAAATAGTGAATTATGAAACAATTAAGCTATCACTTGATGAAATTAAACTAAAACTAGAAATATGCGTAGCTCGTGTGTACGTACACTGTATTTCCATCAACACCTTGGTCAGGTCATGTTTATACAGTTTCATTCTTTTGGACATCATCTTTTGAAACATCCATTGGCGATAAAAAGATAGAAATGTAAGAAAACTACAATATATATTCATCGAAAAAAGTTGAATTTTACGACGAGTTTGCTATATTTTAAGGCAGATATAAAATTAACATAAAAAGGTTGATTATTCTAATGATCGACGATCGATATATATACAAGAAAGAGGGGCTTATTTGTATTACAAGTGTTTAGCTTATTAACTTTAGGCCCACATGGTGCTTTGCAGTGGAAATCACTAGAGATGAGGAAAAGAACTTTAAAGTTTTGCATGACACGTCAAACTTCGATATTCTTCCTTGAATTTACTCACATGTTTAGAAAATTAGGGCATTATTGTTGTAATATCTTTACCTGCTATTCTACATCATATTATCAATAGCAGTATTAAAAAAATTTGCCGCATGAAAGAAATAATTCAAAATAAATTTATCATATTTATCTTTTCCCCAGTTCACTTATTCCTTATTTAAAGTTGACTTTCTCTTAAAATACTTTTTGAATTGTAATCAATTAATATTGGGTCATCAAGAGCCTTTGAGTCTTAATTTGATTTGATGTACAATATAGGAGGAGAGAAAATGTAATTAATGGTCCTAATTTTTAGCCTGAGAAAAAAGTTTGCAGGAGAGGCAGAGGCAAAAGAAGATCCGCAAAAGAAGATCCACACTCATTGCCTAACTCACATCGTATTCATGTCAAGTCAAACATATTTATTAAATAAGTAATTAGGTCAAGATTTTTTTAAAAGCATATTAAATGAAAAATTCAAACTTCTGGTCTCATCATTCAAAAAAAAAAAAACCATAACATATGATATCACCCTTTTAAATGTTTATTATTATTACCAATATAGTTGAATGAGTAAGTTGCATGTGAGTTATATATATTGTAAATTTTTGAGTATCATATTATTAACTTATATTTTATTAGCCTATTGAATTTGAAGTATATGTTTTTTATATTATCATTTTTAGTACAATTATAATTTATTTGGAAAGTAATTTGTAAAAGTGGACTTGCAATAGCATCTGTTGAGAATGGAGTGCAAGGTAGCACCATGTAATTGGGGTAATGGACATTGTGTGTCTAAACTACTATCCACCAACATATCTTTTTTCTTGAATAATTGTGGTATGATTGGAAAAAAAATTTATTATGATTTGAATATACCTACTCGGCAGGTACATATCAACAATAGAAATATCATTTTATTATTTCAAGAGCTAGGCCATAATTTTTTGAATATTATATTATATAAATAATCTCAACCATTTTGTCCATGAGGGATGATTTAAATCTTCACATTTGATGGAACAATTGAAATGTACTATATATTGCGATAGAATGCATGCATTTGATATTATAATATGTACAAGTGTTACAGGAGACTGTTTGCCTAATTGGTGAACTTTAGCTTAGGTTACTCTAGATACGCATCCGGCATCCCCTACTAATTAAGCATCCTTCAATAAGTTATGTTATCACCAAGTGGATTGTCAGACAGTCAAAGTTCGAATCTCATATGTTTTATTCTTATATTCTTTCTTTCTTTCTTAATTTCTTTCTTCTTTTTTTTTTTTTACTTTTTGGTAATTTATTATTTTCTTCATTAAAAAATTTAAAACAAATATAATGAAAATGAGTGATATTTTTATAAATAATAATAAAAATAGTTAAAAGACTAAACATCTTTAAAGATTCTAAAAATGATAAAAAAAATAATAATAATTGAAAATTATAAAAGATATCGATCACTAGACAACAATTCCTTTTGAAAAATTTAGTTGTATGTTTAAAATAGATGTAATTAGTGTTAGAAAAGGATCCTCTTTCTTATTACAACGGAATGTCTTAATGAAATCATGAAATAATTGGTAGCAGGAAAAAAAAAACTTCTAAAATAGATATAATTAGTGTGCTTTATATATATAT